AAAAAAAAAAAAACGTAATTAAGGGCAAGTGAATAGGGAGATAAAATAGCTCCAAACTGCAAAGAAGAGTTGTTCTAGGATCTGTGATTTCGGGGCACTAAAAGCTCCAATGCTACCCATGATAACATAAAAGTAACTAAATAGTTAAAAAAATTAATAATCAAATGAGCATGTACTACATAATAGAGATTCTGATAAGCTGTAAGCCTATTGTTCACAAGCATATATCAATCTATCTTTGCTAGACAAAAACAATAGAATCAAATATATATTTGCAAAAATTTGACAGCACAAAAACCTCCATAGGAACTGAGACGTTTGTTTTAATTATTTAAAGTGCTGGAAGGTGACTGAGGCTAGGAACATGCCTGACATCACCATGCATGAATCCAAATCTCCACTCTTTTTTTTTTTTTACATCACAATTCAAGAACTTACCGTTTTGTATCCAAGTATGCTTCTCGACGTAGGATCATCCCACACAAGCAGCAGCACTCTCACTCCTTCCTGCGACTTTGACTTCAAAAGCTCGCCCAATGTATAATCAGACACCGAACTATCATCCCTAATGAGCCTAACTTTATGCCACACAGACCACCCCGTGATATAAATCAACCGACGAGCGTGCCGTATCGCGTCAAATATATCACGCCAGCACTTCCCGTGAATATAATGCATCCCATTGTCGAGCTTCAGGTTCGGGAGGGAATTATCCGGTACATGTGCATCCTGGTACAGGGTCACGGACCCACCTCTCCTGAGAGGAAAATAAGTACCAAGAACACCCACATAATCTGGACCCGCCCCAATCCCATTACGATAAGCACTCAATTTCTCGATCGGGTGATACTGTATCGAGAGGCTCAAAACAGCCCCTGCCTTGCACGGTTTACCGCTCGCATTAAGAATGGGGAAAAACCCCTGAACTGTTCCCCCTCCGTATATATGCTCGACTGGGATTGACACAGTCCCTATATGCTGTGACCCCACCACATCATTATCCTTCACGACGAAATTAACCTCGGCCGCACTATGGGCCACGGGGATTATGAAGTTCTGATTCCAGACGGGATTCTCATCGTTGCTTATAACGTAGGTCCTCCCGAGCGTGGCCTCCATTATTGTTATCGACACGTACGGGTCGCTCGTGATCTTCCGGTTCATCTGCCCCTCGATTTTGCTGCCTACATTGCCCGGCAGCTTATTGAACATGTCTCCAAGAGTCTTGTGGAACATATCCATGTTCGGGAGGTTCTTGGCCTCGTGCACCCAAACGTCCAAGTTCCCGTGCAGAAGCAGAACTTTTAGAGATGTCTTGAGTGACGGGACATGCACGAGCTGCATGTTACCGCTGTACGGGACGTTTTCTTGTGAGCTCAAGCCCAATTCCGTTCTGCCAGTAGGGCCAGAGAACGAGTTACTTTGGAGCCCGGGAAATGTCCCGGGCCTGTGATGGTTGCTGCCAGTCATTGGCAGCGGGCCCGAGTGGAATTTCTGAGGGGGTTCGGCTGAAGGGAGCGGGGGAGAGGCTGGGGTGGATGGTTTGCTCGGGCTTTCGGACAAATGAAGGCCTGAAATCTGATCGTCGATGGGCGGGTAGATGGAGGGGTAGTTCGGAGAATGATTGTCCGGCGGACGGTTGGAGTTAGCCGACGAGTCGCAAACCGAGGGGGGGTCGTTGTTATTGGGTTTCGGTGGGCCCACTTCAGATTGAGAATCGGGCGGAAGCTGAAGCTGGCCCGACAGCTGGTGGTTGAGGTAGTGGAACGAGCCCTGGAAGCTGCCGTAGGTCTGGAGGGTGGGCTGGGCCTGGGGAGGAGGATGAGAATGCGGGCCCGAGTAAGCTGGGTACTGGTAAGGAGGGTAATGGGCATAATCCGGCGGGCAGTGGCCGGAAAGCGGAGGGTAGGGGTAGTTCAGGTGGCCGGAAGGCGAGTGGGCGTACGGGTGAGGGTAGTGAGGGTGCTGAGGTGGCGGCGGGTAGGCGTACGGGTAAAGCGGCTGTACCGAGGATGGAGGTGGGTAATGGGGT